TTAACCTAACGATTGCGATCTTTAGTTTTAATGGTGTTTACCATCGAAAAAATTCTTTCAACAGAAGCACTGAAATGGGAAAGTGTCATTATATGTGTCATTAACATAGTTAATGCAGGAAACATTATTGAGCCATCACCTTTTTTTAAGGTCATCACCTTATACCAGTACTCCATTACTTGACATTCATCTTTCTCGAATTCCATACAATTTAATCTCCTCCACTCTTTGTCAACAATGTCCAAATCAATTCCTTTGAACAAAATTGGAAATTGAGACGCCATGGGTCCTAAGGATGAAACTTGATTTTCTTGAATGGTTTTTGGATCTATCACCTTCAAGTATTGAAGAGGCTGCATTGATCTAAAATTAAATCTTCTAGTTATTTGATTAACAGATTCAACATAGAATCCTAGACAGCGAGTTTTGAATTCTTCTACTTGTTGGATTGAAATTAATTTTCTGCAAGCAATACTGTTAAAGAAGCTGAAACTTTTTCGCCGACATAAATGTCATTTACAGATAAATATAAGCTAGGATTGTTATAATTAATTTCATGATATTTTTTGTTCCTTATATGTTCCTTCTTAATAAAGCAGTTTAATATTTCTTTGTAAATTGTACCAATTCTGTCATAAACGACATGAATTTCTGCAGTTTCTGATTGCATTTCCAAATTTAAATCTACAAAAAAAGGCAATGCAAACGATAAAAATTGTAAAAATATGTTCGTTTATTTCATCGTTTGCTTGGAGTTCGACTTTTTCATTATTGGATCTTGACTCGGCTATGAATTCTCTCTTTGATGCATTACATCGTTCTATAATTGATTTTGTTCCTAAATGTGTTTTTTATGTATCGTCATACCCACCTTGGTTCTCCAAGGAGCTAAAACAAATATTATTTTTAAAAAAGAAAGCACACCTTAAATGTAAAGCGTCTTCTAATGTCTGTGATTACAGAGAGTTTTCCCTACTTCGTGCCAAATTTAAATTTGAGTCAAAAAAATGCTTGCGCAACTATACTAAAAGAGCCGAACAATTATAAAAAAGAATCCCCGTAGTTACTGGAAGTTCATTAATTGTAATCGCTCCGATAATGATATTCCTAAGCAGCTGTCCTTCAATATATCTGTCTCATCGGATAAACAAGGAGCTGCTGACCTTTTGGCCTCTTACTTCTCATCTGTATATTCGAATAACCAGTCTGTAGTCAATCTTGATGACTTAAATATTCCACAATTTGTTCTACCTAACAATATTTCCATCAGTGTTGATGATGTCTTTAATAGCCTATCTGCACTTCGTGGCTTATCGTCCGTTGGCCCTGATGGCCTCCCCGGTGAGTTTTTGTTCCAGTTGAGATTTATTATCTCTTATCCTCTATGGATTATTTTCAATAGGTCCTTGAATGAAGGCATTTTTCCTTCAATGCTTAAATTTAGTTCTGTTACCCCGATTCTTAAATCGGGTACTCCTTCATCAGTCTTAAATTATAGACCTATTTCAATTCAATCTCATATTGCGAAAATATTTGCATCATTGGTTTTAAAGGAAATTCAACGCCTGGTTAATCATATTCTAATGGAGGAGCAACATGGGTTTCGTCCTGGTCGCTCCACTACAACATGCAATCTCTTATTTAATAACTTTGTATTTGAATCATTTGAACAGCGTTTGCAAGTTGATATAGTATATACTGACTTTAATAAAGCTTTTGATTTAGTAGATCATGAGGTTTTGATTAAAATTCTTAGCAGTTATGGCTTTGGTGAGCCATTTTTGTCCTGGCTCACATCATACCTTAGTGATCGAAATCAATGGGTAAATATTTTCGGAACCAAATCTAAGCTGTTTTTAGCATCCTCTGGCGTTCCTCAAGGTGGACATCTGTCCCCCTTATTGTTTTCTCTTTTTATGAATAATATCAACCGGGTTCTGCGTCATTCCCGTATTCTGTGCTTCGATGATGATATTAAACTATTCCTACGTATCGGTTCTATTGATGATTGTCTTAATCTCCAAAGTGATCTGAATACCTTTGTCAACTGGTTTAAAAATATTGGATTATCCTTAAATGTATCTAAATGTAAGATTTTTACTTACACACGTAGTCGTTTACCAATAATTTATTCCTATAATATTCTAGGCTCTGAAATTTTACGTGTTAACGAATCTGTTATTGATCTTGTATTCAAGCTTACCCGCTCACTTAATCCACGGCCACATATTGACATGGTATGTTGTAAGGCCTTGAAAACTCTTGGACAGGCTGGCTAGGGGTTTTAAATTTTACTCTTCATTTAAACTACTATATTGTACTTTAGTACGACCTATATTAGAATACGGCGTGGTTGTTTGGAGTCCTTATACTGCTAATGACTCTCTCCAACTTGAAAGAGTTCAGCGCCGGTTCCTTCGTTCTGCTGGTTTCTTATTAGGCATTGAACACCCTCCGCATGACTATTCAGCTGTTGGTGCTCAATTAGGTCTCGTCTCTCTAGCTGAACGCAGGCGAATGCTTTCCTTAAAGTTTCTAAAGGGACTGTTGTCTGGTCAAGTTGATTCAAATGATTTATTATCCTTACTGAATTTCAAGGTTCCTCCCCGTCAAAACCGTTCTAGTGTTCCTTTTCATGTCCCTATATGTCCTAGCAATTATATGAAAAATGAGCCTATTAGGAGTCTAATGTTAATGGCCAATGAGGATCCCTCTGTAGATCTTTAATTTTACTATTTGTTAATCTTTTTTCGTTTTTTATATTTATTAGCTTTAGCGACCTAATCTAATTAACCTTATTCATCTATCATTATTTGTAATCAAACTTTTTTCTTTGTTATGAATGTTTTGTAATTATGTAATATGTATACATTTTCAAAAGGGTTTCAAACCCGTTTATTATTATAAAATAAATAAATTTTAATATTTAATGCAAACTCGGAATTTTCACGGTATTTTACGGCAAGTCCCGTGTTTTGAATATGTCTCCATACAGATTGACAAAAGTGGAAAAAACATCCATTTATTTCCAGTATAATATTATAAAGCGCTCATATGTCTCAGCGCTTAATTGTCTCAGCGCCCAATTTTTGCCGCGCTCAATTGTCTACGCTCAATTGTCGGGACACCGTAATTTCTATTCATTTATTTTAACATAATGTAGTTTTTTAGGCTATAAGAAAGTACCCACTAGCCCCTGGGAATACGGTTTGTGACCTATATACCGTACGGCGTAGGTTTCGTTGGTAAAACGACTTAAATACATAGGTGATTCAATGAAGATCTACGATTTACATTTTAAGAGGGGAGAAAAGTGGTAATTAGTAAAATAAACAGAATGAGTTTAAGGTAATCATGTGATTTATATTATTTCATGAGTTAAATAGATTGAATATTGATTAGTATATAATAACAATTTCATATATAATATAAGACAATATAATAATATAATATAATAATTGATGGCAAATGGTAGGTGTACAAATATAATAGAAGTTATTTTTGATCAAACACATGGTACTATAATAAAACTGATTATGAACATCATATTATAAGTGAATTTAAAAGTTTATCCAGGGACAATGTTGACAATTTGATCGAATGGTTGATCGGCCACCAGCGGCCCACAGTGTTGTCTTAGTCCATCATCTTGTTTAGTGGATGAAAGTCACAATAAAAAGAAGCCACTTGAAGGTGTTGGAAAATAATGTGTAGACCTCGAGGTTTCTTGTCCAAAAAAGTACACGGAAGCGATCTTTGTTGCGTGTGCGTCGATCGGTGATCGTCAGAAAGAAAAAAGAAGCACGGCTCGGCCTTGTGTTGAATCTGCGACTGGTTTGTAGTGTGGTTGATCAATGTCGGCGTCGTGTGAGATTATGGTGGCAATTGTTTTGGGAGGTCAGAAAGCACTGTGAGCATTGCTATAGTGCGTTTCACAACAAATGTCCCTCGATACCAACGCACCAGGCCAAAGATTATTAAACTGGTACGTAAAAATGATGGGAAATTTAAAGTTGAATACGCTTTCTATTTACCAGTCTAAATTGCGAACCACTGGTCTGATTAAAAACTGCCACGCAGCGCTTTGGTATCGAGGGCATTAATTGTTGTGAAACGCACAATAGCTTTTGACGACGACGACGCTGACAGCAACGGCCGCCGTCGGCCGCGGGTAGAGTATGTGAACACTACGGTATAAGGGGATCGGGGGAAGATGTTAACGTTAAGAGGATGTCAGCGTAAAATAAAACCATTGATTATAAATACTATAGATTGCTCACTGGCCGGTTTTTCGGTGGCGTACAATTAAACTCTCGGTAGATGGCGATAAGAACCAACAATCCTAATAAATTGTATTTAATTATACCCACCGTAACTATGGTGGCACGCGGTGCCGGTAGACTGGTTTTTATCGTCGACGATACGTCCACTTCTCCGACGACGACGTACCTACCTAGTACCTATTTACTATATTTTAGTGTTCAATTTGCTATTTTTATTTTGAATGATTTGGTCAAATAGGCTATAGCGCTGGCGTTCACGATACGGATTACGGGCTAATTAATTATATTATAATATGATTTTGTTCAATTCATATTTTATTGTATTATTGTACCTATTATTATCTTTTTTACTGAATAATATTGTGAAATATTAAAAACAAGAAAACCATATTTACGCACAGTTAATAATATACGAAAATATATGAAATGCATTTATATATAAATAATAAATTCATGTAATTTAACTTGTTAACAAATTAAAATTTGAAACAATAGGAAGCATACTTGACTATTTTTTTTGCCATAATGAATTGAGGAATAATTCAATAATTATTGCACAATACTTGCCAAATCAAAATTGAATACTTTATTGTATCTTAACAATGTATTTGTTATTTATTATTACTCTTATTACTAAGTTGTTCTTATACACATAAATTATAATAAATTCCAATATAAATCATAATACATACTTAAAATTACATTAGTTATAAGAATTTAGTTGTGTTGTAGAATCCGCAATTTTGCCACATGTTGAACTGCTTTATTGTGTAAATCAGAATTTGTCCATTTGCATTCTTTAAATATCTTTACTGTGTACAGTAATTCCATCATATAAATGTAATGTTCATAGCATGATTGGGCTTTAGTAAGTACGTCGTTTTTATCACGAGTTTTGGTTTTGTCCATTAATTGAGATAAAATGTATTTTTCATGTTTAATTTCATTAAAATGTTTATTAAAAATATCCAAACAGCTTTTTGTGATACATATCATTAGTTTTGATGGATTTTTAAGCCCTTCAATACCTTTACTATCACTGTATGTTTTATGTAATAGAAGTAATTGATTTGAATCTTGAAGGTATTGTGACTTTAGAATTAATGATTCTTCACATTTAACACACTTGAACATTTCTATACATCGCTTAGCAATATATCCAGCAAAATACACAATAGAACAATTTTCTAATGAGTTGTTTGAATTCAGAACAGGACTTGGTTCTGATATAGGACTTAACGAGGAATAACTTAATTCAGTTCCTGCAGTAGTAATATTAATAATTTCGTCATTTAATTTGGTTGTATCATCTTCATTTAAATTCGTTTCTATTTGAATATCTTTCAAAACATTTACATTCAAAAATTCGTCATCATCGTCTTCGCAATTGCATTTTTCAGAACATTTCATTAAACTATACGTACAAATGGTCCCAAAACAACATCGAAATGTTCGAGCAGTTGGATTTTTATTATAACCGTTTTTCTTAAACCGAGATCAAAAAGTTTTTGAACTGATTCTTTAACAATTATTGCCAAGTTATCCCCTTTTATTCCACTACCAGTTAAATAATAACTAAGTGGAAATTTCCAGTTGTTGTATAATCCTCATACCATTATAACTAAGGCATGCGATCCGATTTTGTCTGTTCTACCTAATGTACCAAGATCTTCATAGCCTTCGATTTCATCTTTTGATTTATTATATTCGATAGATTTCATTATTGATATTTCGTCGAGTAAAACAACACATTGTTTTTCTTGATAAGACATAAAAGAAACTTTAAGTTGAATTTGCTCCATATATTTTGATGAAAACCCAGTACTAAAATTTATTGAGTTTAGCCAACGACGTACAGTACTCGCACCAGGTAATAAAATTTTATTCTTGCGCATGTATTCATAAGTAGATGGAGACTTGTAATAAATGGACAAAGCTAATTTTTTTTCGTTTATGGTCCATGGTTTACGCTTCTTATGGTTTATTTGCATGGAAACTAATGATTTTGAACTTATTGAAGAAAATTTAATTTCTTGTAAAAAGTGTTGGATGTTTATTTTCTTTTTTTTATTTGATAAATTTTTCTTTTTTAACAAACTGATAGCTGATCTTTTAATTTTTAATAATTTTTCCAGTCGCTTACATCTTTTTTTAAGTCTTATGAATTGTTTTGTTGGAGAAAGAATCGATTTTTTTTGTCTCTGGACTTTTTCTGGCGTAGGCAGTGAGGTTAAATTTGAAATGTAAGATTTCGTTAACGGCGATATTGATAAAGTTGGACTACCAAACATGTTAAGTGCAGCTTCTTGTGGCTCCATGATTTTAACAAAAGAGTCATACTTTTTGGCTGGTTTTAAAATCCCAGGAGACCATTCAAGAGGATTAATTTCTTCTAATAAAAATAAAAAATAATTTAATTATAATTTAGTAATGAATTTCTTAACAAAAACTATTTTGGAAATTTCGGTATTCTTATCGTATCGGTCTACAGCACGTTTCTACTTTCTATACATCAGGGGTCGCCAACATAAGTTAAAAGTTAACAGTTAGAAAAT